GGATGGGTGGGTGGGTGGGTGGATGGATGGATGGAGAGATGGAGGAATTGCTCCCATATACCTTTGGGGAATTATAAGATTCAAGGGTATGTTAGCAGTTGGTTAGCTTAAGAAAATCACAGTCACCTTGATAATAACCATGTTTAGACATTTGCAAGTGTATTATGAAATGGAAACACAGAAATACCAGAATAATCTTAATTTTTATCCATTATTCATCACTGACCTAATAATCTACTGGCATCTTGTTTAGTTATTCTGAGATGAGCTGCTATCTATCAAAGGGGTGTGACTTTTCAGACAAGGGGTCTCTAATCTCCACTTTGGGAGAAGAGGGAGAGAAGACTTGGCCTGCCTTACCAATGACACCTCCCATTTATTGAGCACTAACTGTCACACTCTTCAATCACATTAGCTCACTTAATATCTCCAACAAGTCTGGGAGGAAGGTGGTACTATTATTTTCAGCCTACTCTCACTGAAGGGAAACTGAAGCTCAGAGAGGTCAAACATCTCGGTTAACATTATACAGAGAGCAGGGAAATTTGAACCCAGCTCCATCATCTGGGTTCTTGACAGCCCATACACATGAGGGGGCATGCTGACTATGTCAGAGATCAAAGCTGGAGACCTCTGCAAAGGTTTTGGGGCTTCCTTCACAGTTCTAGGACTCCTATCACCACCTCCACATATTTTCACCCTTTCTTAGTTACAGGCCATTTTCAACCTGGCAAAAGAGACTTGGAACCTAGCCAAAAGAGAGAAGAGATTCCAAACAACTTATGATCTTTATAGTTTGTCCTTCCTAGTAGTTAATCTGTTCCCATCTGTCATCTGTTAAGTCTGGGGGCTATCACACAGCTCTGTTTTGTGTGTCTTAGGGGTCTTTTGCTTGTCATTGATGAAAAATATGTATCAATAATAAGCAAGCATCATTTCCCCTCAAAGAGGCTATTGTAGATAAATCAAGACTCCACAGTTGTGATACTTGAAAATTAAAATACTGTACCACACAACCAAGCAGGTATTCCCCTTCAAAGCTCTTGTCATTTCTGTTGTGAGTATCTCTGGGGGTCTTGCCTTCACTCTCGGATATGGTTTTAAATCCACTGTTATACTGACTCCATACCCTCTAGTCAAACAATAACATGCCACTAGATCACTCATTTGTTTTCTCACCATACTTGGCTCCCACTGACTTTGGTGGCCATTTCCAAAACATACTACAGATTCTCCAAGGGTTTCAAAGTCTGCCTTTGCCGAGGTTAATCAGAAGGTTCTCTGACTGACTCGGGCAGCCCTATAAAAAGAATGTGAAGAAAGACTGAGCATGAGATGGTGGGTGTGTGGCTACACTGAGGGCCAGCAGGCATTTGCGTGTGTAAGTTCTAAGCTTTATTTTTAAGACAGTCATTGTTTTATAGCCACACTTAGCACAGAGGAATGCACTCCAATGACTGGCGGAAATCGCATGAGTCAGCCCAGGCCAGCTGAGGGGTAAAGGCTGAGGGCTAGCAGACACTGTTCTGAAAAATGGCCTCTGTGAGTGGAGGTCTGGACTGAGGCTGGGTGTGCATGTTCTTGGCTACCTCTTTGTCCTGGGAACTGGGTCTTCCGGCCTTTGCTTGGGTATCGACCCGAGAAGAGGTGAGGTGGTGACCTCACCATGAGCGCTTGTCACGGTTGAGGTGAGGCATCGGGTATTTCAGGTACTCTGCACACTTCCTTCCAGCGTCCAAAATGGCCGGGATCTCTCATCCCCCAATACCCTTTTCTGGAAGCACCTGAGCATCTCCTCCTAAGGCTCTTAGGCTCTAGATCTTAGTTCGAGGATTCGATTCAGGTAGACCACTGACAAGAAGCAGCAGAAGAAAGGAAAGTACACTGGAACTAGAAAGAAAAGGAAACAACAAGAGCAGGTATAAAGCAGGCAGTGGTCCTAGGGAGAGAGTGAGGAGAGTGGGAGTTAGAAAGGGGGAGGAAGAGAGGGGAAGACCCGGATGTTCACCACCCTTCATTCTCCCCCTCCACAGCTAAGCCCTGCCTTCTCCGAGGGGCCATGTCTGAAGGGGAGAGCAAGGACAGTTCGGGCAGTGAGTGCCCAGTGTGCTACGAGAAATTCCGGGACCTGGAGGGTGCCAGCCGGACACTGAGCTGCGGCCATGTGTTCTGCCACGACTGCCTGGTCAAGTACCTGCTCTCCACCCGGGTGGACGGGCAGGTACAGAGGACCATCGTCTGCCCCATCTGCCGCTATGTCACCTTCCTCAGCAAGAAGAGCTCCCGCTGGCCCTCCATGCTGGACAAGAGCTCACAGACCCTGACTGTGCCCGTGGGCCTGCCCGTGCCCCTGCCCTCCATGCCCTCCCCAGACCGCGCGGGCCACACAAACCCCCTGGCCACGTCCCAGCCGGTCTGGAGGTCATCCTCGAGCCAGGGGACCCAGCTGCCCTTGGACCTGCTGCCCAGTCTGCCCCGGGAGTCGCAGATATTCATCATCAGTCGCCACGGGATGCCCCTGGGGGAGCAGGACAGTGTGCTGCCGCGACGCAGCCTGGCAGAGCTCTCAGAGGTGTCCCCGGCCCCCAGCGCCACCCGATCTTTCTGCTGCCGCTCACGGGCTCTCCTGCTCATCACCCTCATCGCAGTGGTGGCTGTGGTAGCCGCTATCTTGCCCTGGGTGCTGCTGGTGAGGAAGCAGGCCTGAGTGGTGGCCCCTGGCGAGACAGCAGAAGAAGGCCTGGCCTGAGTCCTGCAATGGCAGCTGCCCTGCCCAGTGGCCAGGCTGGCCGTGGCGTGGGCAGGGGCAGACATGGTGCAACCAAACTCTGAGGAAGGCCTGGAGCAGAGGGGGGCACAGGGTGTGGCCAGTTTGGAAGTATACTGGCTTTCTCCCCACCTACACACACACACACACACACATACACACACACACACACACACCAGCAAGGCACAGGGTGTGGCCAGTTTGGAAGTATACTGGCTTTCTCCCCACCTACACACACACACACACACACACACACACACACACACACACACACACACACACACACACACACACACACACACACACACCAGCAAGGCATAGGCATGAGGGGAGGCTGGGAGCTGAGATGCCCATGGGTGACCTCCATGTGGATTCTTTGCAAATACCCCTCCCCTAGGCTAGAATTCAGCAAGCTGGGAAGATGGCTGGTCGGTGACCTCTTATGGGCATCTTGCCCGCCAGGTGACCTAGCTGAAGTCAGGTGGGCCTCTCTGGGGACAAGGACGCTCTGCTGGCCTGTGCCTGTGCCCTGCCAGCTGGGGGCCCAATGGCAGACCTGGTGTGGCCAGAATTCTCCCTTAGGATTCTGTAGCTTCTCATGGAGAACAAATAGAAGGTTGGTGCAGGGGCTTAGGCAATGGTTTCCTGGAATCTTAGCCCCACACCTAACCCTGCAATATCGCCTCCCCCGAGTCCTCCCTGCCTCCAACCCACCTTCAGAGTGTGTTCCCTGAGCAAGAAGCTGATCTCAGACACAGTGGCACAGGGTTTCTGGAGGAAGCAACACAAAAGGAGGGAGCAGAGAGCACATCACAAAACAGGGTTGTAGGTAGACAGGAGGCCCAGGTCAGCAGAATGGCTGCAAACAGAGCCAGAGGTTTTCCTGAGCCCTCCAGGCCCAAGGAGTGCACCAGATTTTGAGTCTCAGCGGTCTCCAGGTTGGAGCTGAAGGCAGGGAGTGCAGGGGATGCTTGACAAGGTAAGACCTGAGTCACCTGAGAATTATGTGGGCAAATTAACCACTGGGGGCTCCTGACTCCCTCCCTGCCCAAGTCCTCCCCCTCATGACCCAGCCACTCATTAGAGGCCACACCAGCTGGGCCAGTTTCCCAGGCAGATTCTCAGGCTGAGCTGGGCGAGGAAGGGTGGGGAAGAGAACAGCTGTGCTTGTCAGGTACTCTGCTGTCTCAACAAATGCTGAGAGCCAGGTGCTATTTATCTGGGAACCACAATTGGACTATGCTGGGGACCCCTGATGAGCCTGGAAAAGCTAGAAGAGCTTTCCCTAGAAAAGCCTGAGGAACAAGAATTTAGGAACAGTTATTGGCTGCTAATTGAGGTCCATATTCAATCAAGACCTTATGCCACTGTAACAACAACAGAATCCCCAGCAAATGTCATACACAGATAGGGTAAGCACCTCAGGGATGCAGCAGCTAAGCCTCCACAACTGGTACCTCCCCTTATCAAAGTTCACTATCTATGGGGAAAGAAAAAGCACTCAGACTCTTATCTAGCTGTGTAGTGGCTGTCATTTGGGAGTCATTAGGGAATGGGGTCTACACCACAGGAGATATTTATGACATGGGGGGGCAGTTAGAGCACTGACAGACTTCCTTATGTTCTTTCCAAGACTAGATAAGCACACAGATGCTATTGGGGGGTGCTGTAAGTGGATTCGGGCAATATTTATTATAGGAGCAAAAGTAACATTAATTTTACAAAGATTCCAATGAGTCTGTCTTCACCTCAGCCAGGCTGCTTTAAACAGTGTCATAAATTTCTAGGAACCTGATTTGAGTCTTTTCAGCTGCTACTGTGTTTGCCAAGAGTTTCTTTCAAAGACCCGCAGTGTTTTCATATCCTTTACCTGCAACTTGTAGATGACACTTCTTTTATTTTTAAAGAATGCCAAAAGCTATTTTTTAAATAAAGCTATGTATTTTCTCAAAGATTCCAGAGACATTGTAATGTATGTGGGAAGCTACCGGCTTGGATTCATGGGATAATTCATGTTAGATGAAAAAGACAGTTTGAAAATAGAAATGTAAGAGGCCCTTAAACATTGATTCAGCCGGGCTGGGGATTTAGCTCAGTGGTTCTGCTTCCTGCCTCACAAGTACCAAGGTCCTATGTTCTAATCCTTGGTACTAAAGAAAACCACAACACACTGATTCAGCCACCCTTGTAAAAGAAATACAAATTAAAATCCTCTTGGCATTCTATTTTTACCCTTTAGCTTGTCTAAACCACGGAGGTTCAGGAAGGCAGGTAAATTGTTGGTAGAAAATATATTGGTAAAACCTTTATCAAGGGAGATTTGACATTACCAAAATTTCCACTTTGACCCAGAAGCTCCTGTTCTAGAAACAGAATAGGACGCACTGTTACACAGTGTATAGATACACCAGATACACCTGTACATATAGACAGTGACATGCACAATGCTGTACAATTTCAACATTGTTGTAGTAAAGGATTGGAAAAACCCTAAATATTAATCAGTAGACAACTAGTAGCCAGGCATGGTGGTGCACATCTGTAATCACAGCACTCTGGGAGGCTGAGGCAGGAAGGAGCCCAACCTGGGCAACTTTGCTGATTAGCAAGACTCTATCTCAAAATTAAAAATTAACAAAAAGGGCTCGGGATGTAACTCATTGTGAAGGCCCTGGGTTCAATCCCAAAAACAAAAAAGGAAGGATTCTATGGATGATGACACAGAACATCCCTAAATACAATGGCAAATGGGAATAAGCCAGGTGGAAAAGAATGGACACCAGATACTACAGTTTATGAGAAAGAGGAAGAAATGAGAATTTACATTCTTATTTGCTTGTTCCTGAATAAAGAAACTGGGAAGATACAACAAAACAAATAACAGTGATTATGTATGGAGAGAGATGAGAAGCTGACAGGATGTGAGTTTTCATTTTACTTTTGTGCTTTTCCATTTTGAGGCCAAGTAAATGTATTATCTATTGAAAAATTAAATTGAGGACTGAAGGTATATAGCTCAGTTGCAGAGCTTGCACTTAGCATGCACAAGACTTTGGTATCAATTCCCAGTGCATGTGCATGCACACACGCACAACAAATCAGCCTGAAAAATATTAAAAGTTAGACGTGTCTTCAGTGTACACACCCATTGCCCGATAGGAAGATTGCCCCAAGATCATTAAAGAACTGCCAAACCACCAGTCCTGTGCTTCCAGAGTGTCAAGATACTGGCTCCTGAGCTGGTTTATCTGGTTAGAAGTATGGCATCTTATGTTTAATATGCACCCAAGAAGTAAGGCAAGAAGTTTAATCTCAGTGATCCTGTTTCTGTGGATTTCTTTGGTCCCCATCATTTGATATGTTTATTTATTTATTTATTTATTTATTTTGGTACCAGGGATCGAACTCTGGTCCGTGCGCTTGTAAGGCAGGCCACTGAACTGCTGAGCTAAATCCCTGGCCCCCCCGATATGTTTATTTTGATTCCCCTTTGTCTATCTTTGTTTCCTTCTTAAATAAAAATTTTTGCTTTAAGCAAACACCTTAGGTTAGGGCACTGTAGGATAATAACATCAGATAGAGGATGACAGACAGATGAGAGATAGATAGATGACAGATACTAGCTACACAGAGGGCTTGAGGTTAAATTTAAACTGTTGTTTTCTTCCTCCTCTTGTCCAAAGGCACCCGTAGCATTGTACACACACACATACACACACACACACACACACACACACACACACACATACTGCCACCTTCCATGGACACATGAAGTCTCGGTATACCAGGCAAACTTAGGGAGTCACAACACAGGCCCCCACCTTGTCTACCTAGCTTTTCAGAAAGTTCAAAGATGACTACAAAGACTTCCCTATCCCTTACTTCATGTGAAGTGGCTATACACACACAAGCATGTGCACACACACACACACACACACACACACACACGTACATGCACTGCATCACATCATCTTCTGAGGGACAGGTTATTATGGGTTTTTTTTTTTTTTTTCCTCCTGGTACCAGGAATCAAACACAGCACCTTGCACTTGGGAGGCAGGTGCGGTGCTACTGAGCTAAATCCCCAGCCCAATTATGCGTCTTTGTTGATATGACTATCTCCTTCCAGTGTTCCTTCAGGGGAGGCTAGATCTTATAGATCTTGGTATCTTTGGCCTAACACAAAATTTAGTAAATAGTAAGAACTGAATATAAGATTTTTCTTCTTTTTTTTAGGGGAGTACCAGGGATCAAACTCATGACCTTGCACTTGCTAAGCAGGTGCAGTGCCACTGATCTAAATACCCAGCCCACTTTTTGTTTTGTTTGTGACAGGGTCTCATCATGTAGTTCAGGGTAGCTTTAAACTCACTATGCAGCCCAGGCAGGCCTAGAGCTCATGGGATCCCCTTGCCTCAGCCTCCTGATTGCTAAGATTACAGGCATGGTGCTACCATGCTCAGCAAGATAAATATTTATATAATGTATGCCTATATGAATGAATGAATATAATGGTTTGGTGTCTAGAAAAAAGTTCACTTCCCCTTAGGCTTGAAATTTGGATATAATCCCTGCTTTGGTGTGTCTGAGGGCTCCAGAAAATGATCCTAAAGAGCCAGTTTAAAGGATCTTTTTCAAACAAGGTAATAGGTGTGTGGGAAAAAGAAGCAGCAAGGGCAGCTAGATAGACAAGGTTACCAGAGGAATGAGCAGGTGAGGCTGAGACATCAACAGGCACTGCTTAACAACCAGGCTACTGAAAATTTGCATCTCTGGATACAGTTTGTGGCTCAACAGTCTTCCCACCGTATAAAGTGGCCACACTGTCCAAACAGTGGGGTGGGGGAGGTTTAATCTTGATGACTCAGTGTTGGGGTAGAGGGAAGGAAGGAAAGGAGACCCAGAAAGCAGGGAAGTGTCAGTGAAGGGAGGTGAGGAAG